GTTAAAAAAAATTTGCCAATTTGACCATGTTCTAAACTAAATTATGCGAGCTTTGAAAATTTTATTCTCAATGCTGGAAGAATAATGCGAACTATTTATGCATGGTGAATTATCCCGCGCAACAAAATAGTTCCAAATTAAATTGAGGCGGCAAGTTAATTGGTCGCATTAATTTTGTACGACTCAAATTTCACATATTATGTTTGGTATTGTCCAAAAAACGATAAATTTTCAATGGTTTCTGTACCAAAAACTATTCGATGGGGATTAAAGGGCAGTCGGGACATTCAGGGTCTTACCTTGATATACGAGCAGTCTTGTTATGATTACAATTTGTACAAAACTGTGATGATCGCATGACACCTGCTTACTTTGTTCAAACAGAAATAGGAACGGATTTTTGGGAACAAATTGCTGGACTTGAATTCAATTTTTTGGTAAAATTTGAAATGAATTTTTCATGATTTTATGATTTTTTGAGTGGTAATTGATCTTTGTGATGTGTTAGACACTCTTTCTCAACTCAATCAATCGAGCTTTTTGGGTTTTTGGTCTATTTTAAACCAATTAAAGTGAGTTTTCTGTTCAATCAAAAAGAGTATCACAATGTTGAAAGGTAAGAGTGATTTATCATATTAAAATCCTTTAAGCCCTGACTCGAACTTTCAACAATTTTAATTTGTTCCAGAGTCGGGAAAAACTGATTTAAAGGTTTTGAGTTTTAGTTTAACTTCGAGCGAGTAAAGCAAGCGAGCAGACTTTTTAAAATATTTTTTTTATATAAAAAAATAAGCCAATAAATTTTACTTTTATTCTTTTAAAAATGTTATCCATTTTTTAGCGCGGTCTTGAGAACAAAAACTTCAACAAATCAAAAAAATATCTGCCAAACGAGTTTATTTTTTTTTTGAAATTTTGAAAAGGTTTACAATTTTATTTTGCTTTACTTAATTGACATAATTAATGCCCAAGTTGCCTGTTTTTCTTGGCTTCTTTAAGTTGTGCTGGTTTTTGTCAGATAGTTTTATGAAACCACGCACAAAACAAAACGATTCTAAATTGAAAATAAAACTTATATTTGGTTGGAACATTCTGTGGTACATGCACAGCAACCGGCAATGGTTGTAAAAAAATCTATTTTTGTTCATTTCTGGCATAAAAATGACAGTTTTCTCGAATTTTTATTCGGCCTGCTAAATTTTACAGACATGTAGCCAGGGAGCGGATCTAGGATTTTCTCGAGTGGGCTATGGCGGATTTTCAAAAATATTTCGAACGTTTTGTCAACCCATTTTTTAAGGTCGACCAAATTGATTCTCCGAGAAATTGGGTTCCGTTCCGCGCGAGCTCCCCTTCAAAATTACTATATGATGGCGCGAAGGTGTCTTTACAAAAAACCTTTAGGCTTCGTCCGCCTAAATTAGATGTCATTAAATGATATTAGAGGTGGGATCCTTTGGCTGGAGAACCCCTGAGAGGGGAGGAGGGGGTAGTGAGGGTCCATTTCCTTTTAAAACCGCCCCTGCATTTAGCCATGGTCTTAAGATTTGCTGCTGAAATTGGGGTCGGTGCTAACTGTAAATCGGGTCTTCCTATAGTCGTTAAACTTTCCCCTGAAATGTCTGGTCGCATTTGCAGCTATCTCACGGCCGCCATGATGACAGTAGGCGGTATAGTGTGGGTCAGGGCAGGGTTCTCTACTCATCTGATAAGGACCCGCTACCAATTTTGGTGGTTGGTTATATAGTGTAATTTTAACAGTTATCAGATTGTTTAAGAGTCGATGAACGTAGTTGGGACTCTTATATAGGTCGCAAAGACTTTTTTCGTTTTTTTTCCACGAAATGTTCAGAATTGTTCACATCTTGATACTTGCGTAAGTTTAAAGATGACGAAAAACGTAATCAACTTATAGCTTCGAAAGTGGAATTTAATTTTCAGGTTTCCCAGAAAAAAAAACATTTTTCTTACCTATCGATCCAGTTTCCTGAAATTGGATCATTTCATCAAAAAAGAGCCAATCAAGACCTGAAGGAAAAACTGTGCGGCTACTGCTGAAAGCAGTTTGTTTGGTAGTGCTTTTCTGATGTTATCCATCAGTGCATCTGATGAATTTAGCGATGACACAAATTTGAAAAATGATTTCTTTCAGTCAGTAACGGGAGATGGTTAGGTTCAAATTACTCTAGGACAAAGCATATGGTACAATTTGTTGTATTTTTAAGCCGAAATCCATTATTGCGAGCTTGTTTACAGTTCAAAACTTCGGTGTTCACACAAACCCACTGCGAAGCTGAACCAATATAAACTCAACTGAATGTTTTTTTTTCAATAAAAATAACGCCTCTTGATTCTTGTGATTGTCAAAGAGATTAGGAGCTAATAAAATGGAATAAACAAATCAAAATTGGTCTTCTTTTTTTGGATGTTTAGGAGCAAATGATTGTAAATGAAATTGGAGTAGGTAGGTAATTGCTTTCCGTAATGATTTTGATCTTGATGTTGACATCATCAAAGTAAGGGTTTCCAATACTGAATTTACTGCCACTGCAAAAAATCAGACGTTGTTTTAACCAATTTGAAGAAATTGTAGTCATCTAAATTGACTAAAATGGCCTTAAAATATTGCTTAGCAAATGAGAATAGCTTCGTGAACTGTTTTTATCAAAGAAGCAAAAACTGGAAAAAAATTTTTTTTTGCACACAGAACAGCAAGTTTTTTGGCAGAAAAGATTGGACACTGGGCGAAAACGTTTCCATGGGAGCCATAAAAGCTCACTGCTGACTTATGTCCATAAGATACTATTGAAAAACTTCTCTCTTGCATGCTGATTTGTAACAAACTCCATCGGGATTTCTTTTTCTTAAATACCAAGTGTTCGGTTGAAGACACGACTAGCTATGCTATGACGCGTTTGTTAAGTTTTTGTTTCATTTTGCAAGCAAATGAGACAAAAAAGTTTTTTTACTCAACTAAGGTTCTTCTGCTAGTCTTGAAACAGAATTTGCCGGCGATTTTTATGTATATTTAGAAATTGAAACTGATTAAATAAATTTTACCAGAAGTTTTGAAATTGGCGTTTGATCTAGTTTACCGTTGCAATTAAAGAAGGTAATGCCAGCGAGTTGTATTTTTTTACTGATAAACATTTTGTCGGCAGAATACAGCTTTTGTAAGTAAACTATCAGTTTTCAGCGCTAATTGTGTCCTTAAACTCATTCTCTGATTTTATTTTATTATGTAGAGTTGCAAGTTTTTTTTTGCAAATCACAGAAAACTGAGGTTTTTTGACCTCGGCTTTTCTGCGATTTGCAGAAAAAACATACGAGAAAACTTAAGCCAAAAAGTAGTAGGTCAGGGAGCTTACAAGAATCGAGAAGTTGCAAAAAGTTGTTTAGAATTTACTGAAAGAGAATTGAGGTTGAAATGTTGGCTTAAATGTTTTATCTACGGCTTAGGTGTTTTTAAGCAAAGTTGTTTTTTCATGGTTTAAACCATGAAAGTTTATCGCATTTATTAAGCCTTATCAAATTTGAGATCTTTTTTAAAACTATTTCGCCCCTAAGAGTACCAAATAACAAATCCAAATTTTGTCGGCAGAATACAGCTTTTGTAAGTAAAGTATCAGTTTTCAGCGCTAATTGTGTCCTTAAACTCATTCTCTGATTTTATTTTATTATGTAGAGTTGCAAGTTTTTTTTGCAAATCACAGAAAACTGAGGTTTTTTGACCTCGGCTTTTCTGCGATTTGCAGAAAAAACATACGAGAAAACTTAAGCCAAAAAGTAGTAGGTCAGGGAGCTTACAAGAATCGAGAAGTTGCAAAAAGTTGTTTAGAATTTACTGAAAGAGAATTGAAATTGAGGTTGAAATGTTGGCTTAAATGTTTTATCTACGGCTTAGGTGTTTTTAAGCAAAGTTGTTTTTTCATGGTTTAAACCATGAAAGTTTATCGCATTTATTAAGCCTTATCAATTTTGAGATCTTTTTTAAAACGATTTCGCCCCTAAGAGTACCAAATAACGAATCGCCACCCCTATAAAGAAAGAATTCAATGGCTAAGCATATGTGAATTTTGTACCCGGTAACGAATCTCCCCCTTTTTGCAAAAGAGGAGAAAAAATTGAACAGATTTGAAATTTTCCTACTTCAATTTTTAGATTTAGTTTTACTCCGTTTAGTTTTAGAAGTTCTCATCATGAAGAAATTTGATCGCCTAACGTCATGTCTTTGATAGTCTCGCCAATGCATCAGTTTTTTTTTTAGAAAACTTGACTATGAAGGGTTTAAATTACGCAAAATCACTTTTCTTCAAGAGTAGGCTACGTTTTTGCTGGGTTTGAAACATATAATTGAAGCCCACAGTGCTGATTTAAATTATCCGGACAAAACAAAAAAAAACTCAAAATTTTCAAGCAAGTTTTCTTCAAACTGGGTTAACATAAGACAAAAAATTGGGGAAAAAAGTTGCTTAGAACTTTACTAGAATTAAATGGTGCAACTTTTCCTTGAAATTCTTAACCAAAATTTTACCCCAAAAATAGGTCAGTTTGATTTTTTTTTGTTAATCAAGAATAACGCTGAAACTGCAAAGTTATTTGATGAGAAATTTATATCAAAAGAAGTCTGTTACAAAGCCCGACAAAGCTCTACAAGATAAAATTTCCGAACATCTGCTTAAGAGAAAATATTTCTGGTTGATAGCCAAAAAAAAGTCAAAGTCGTTTTTACTGTTATAAAAATCAAAATTTTTGGCTAAAAACAAACTTACGCAAGCTTTTGAAAATTGTATCCTTTAAGAATTTTGTTGGACTGTGCAAGAGGCTTTTTTTGATATAAATTTCTCATCAATTAACTTGGTAGTTTCAGCGTAATTCTTGACTAATTAAAAAAAGCCTAAATGACCCATCTTTTTGGGGCGAAATTTTGGCTGAGAACTCAATTTGAGAAAACGCGTTTGAAATTTCAAATTTTGCTCATTTTGTCGGTAATTTAAATCAGCAGTGTATTAATTAAAATCTATCTCAACGCATCAATGAACTTATCCAAGTTGTGATTTAATCAATCAGTTGGGTTCTAATTTGTCATTGTTCCCACATAATTCCAATTTGAACGCCAGAAAACACAATCAAAGCAGCAAACATCAATTCGCACAACACTGTGAAACTAAATCCATTTAGCAAACTTTCTTTTGGCTCCAAATCATTATCTGCCATTCCTCGATTTCCGTCGGGCTCGGTTAGTTTGAACTAAAACATAATCTGACTTATATCAAAGTCGATTGTCTAGATTTCGAGTTTCAGAAGTGTGGATGTGATATGCAAATTTGAAGAGCTTGTTGGACAAAAAACATGTTTTTGGGGACCTATTACGCTCCCCGTAGCGAAGCTCAGATCTGCAACTGCGTCACTAAATTTTCGTATGGGCAATAGACTGTAACTGATAAAGACGTTCACTTCTGCAACTGAATTGGCCCAGAAAAATAGAAATAATGTTGGTAAATAAAAAATTTTGAGAAATGACCGTACACTTTTTTAGTATACGCTCATTTCTCAAACAATTTATTTGGAGTTAGAGGAGTTTTAGACGACAAAACCAGTATATTTTAAAACGATGCGATGTCGTCTTAGTTTGCCTTTTTTGAATTTCAGTAGCCACAATCGCGCTTCATTATATATAAAGGACCCTCCCCTCCCGAAAAAGATAACCAACCCTAAACCCAGCAGCCATTTCTTGGGGTTTCACTTTGGACCGGAAGCCGAGACTGTTCACACTTTCGTCTTCCACACTGTGTTTCTCGAGGAGTTTCAACTGCTTGCTCAGAAACTCACACGTGTCGTCTCTGCTCGGCTTCAAATCAGTCGCCTCGAATTCGTCCTTCAATTTTTTCATGTCTTCAGTCATTAAGTTGTTTCGGTACCTCCGAAAAAGAAAATACTGCTAAATGAGATCTTTTTTATTTCCCAACATTAAGACCAAGGATTTTTATTAGACAACCTTAATCTAACGGTAAAATTAGGAATCAAACAATTCAAAAATTATTGGTTTAAAATACCCATATGATTCTTCTGCAAAGATATGGGATACTGCGAATGATTTTAAAAGCCCCTATGGTATCTACTAAAGAATTGCACCACCTATAAAAAAGCAGTAAATTAGCACTAGAGCGCACTCTATTTATGATTCGATTTTTTTTTGCATTCGGATTGTTCGAAAGCTCGACTAACTTAATCTGCTTAACAATTGCACCCCTTTCAAGAAACGGGGCAATTGTTAAGTACATCCTAAGGGCCTAAGTAATCCTTCGTAAATAAATATTAGTCTTTAAAAAATTGCGTAAAAGTTAAGGGTTTTCTGAAAGATTATTGTCACCTGTAAGCGTTAACATGAAGCAGCAGATCTGCTTTATAAATAATCTCGTGTTCGTCTTTCATATCCGACTGAAGCGAAGGCACATCGGGGGTTGAGAGTTTACTGGGTCCGGGGGGTTCGGTTCTCACAGGACCTCCTCTTTTTGCCGAAATCGTCGATCCTTTCTTTTTTGCCGAATCCACTATTGTTGTTTCGTTATCATTAGTCGGTTTTCGCATTCGTGGCACTGATACGACTGAGCTTTTGGGCTCCGGGGCTGGTTGTGGGGGGAGTGTTGGTTTGCGAGCATTCACATCCCTGTCTGGGGCTTCCGATACACGTTGAGTGGGCTCTGCCATTTCACTGCCTTTTCTATAACTCCGATCACTGCTCATTTTATCGCTCTCGAATGTCGGCGCCATCTAAATGAAAATAAATTATCATCTTGATGAAAGTTTTGGCCTGAACGGAGGACCAATTTTTTCATAATAAAAATTTGTTCTTTTCCATTTTAGTTCTTTTCCTATTCTAAATATTCTAAAATACTAAAATTTAACCTAATAAAAACGCACAGAAAAAAAATGATCAAAAAGATAACTTAATTAGAAGTACGAAATTAGATGAAATTATTATGTAAAACAGTGTTTATTTTTTGTTTTTAGAGACTTCCTCTACGCCAACGTTAGACGGTTTTACATGATAAGTTTTACCTGGAACATTATCAGATACACTACATTACTGGTTGATTAAACTAATTTTTTATGCTTATTATGAAAGACAAAGAACAAAACATGTATGCAGTGTATCAAGTTTTTTGGGTTTTCGTTCAGTTACATTTTTACCTACCGAGCCTGTCCCCGCCGTGTACGTGTAATAGGACTCTATCGATGTAGCAGGTGTTTCTGCTTTCTTTTCCTTGGACGCTTTAACGGGCATCGATGAGCGCTGATTTGGCACTGTTTTAGTCGCGGATGGCTCATCCTTCGGTTTGTTTTCAGCTGTACTCAGCGTTGTGTACGTTGCGTCTGAGTTATCGTAGTTCGTTCTAATCGGCTGCTGGTTCACAACTTGAGGAACCATTGGGATTTCACTGGCGTATGTTTTGGATCCACTCTTTCTGGACCCAACTGGAGGTGTTCCAAAAGATGTTTTAGTGGACTGTCGATTGGGAGCTCCTCCCCCAATGGAGCTGGCCTGAGATGCTTGTCTCTGCATGTAACATGCAGTGTCTCCCACTTCAGGGTGAAACATAGACCAGTCCAGCCCTTCTTTGTGTCGGCTGCTACCTGAACGAAGGACCATTTTTTTCATAATAAAATTATGTTTTTTTTTCCGTTTTAGTTCTTTTCCCATTCTAAATATCCTAAAATACTAAATTTTAACCTATGAAAATTGCACAGAAAAAAAAACAGGTCAAGAAGATTGCTCACAAAAATTGTGCAAAAACTTCAAAAATCTTTCAAAAAAGTTCAAAATTATATAAAAAAAGACAAGGTAATAGAATAAAAAAACTTCCCATGCTTAGAAAAGGCTCAACCTTGTGGACTTAGTCAGACTGTCATTTGTTCCTAGACTCCTTTTTTATTTGAAGCAAAAAACACAAATGGAAAAGAGCCTAAAACGCCACTTTTCAATTTTTTTATGAACCAGAGGCTGATTTTTGGTTATAAAAATGAACTTAACTTTTATTGCATGCATTTAATTCTTTTTGTAGAAGAAAAATCTCCTTTTCATACATTAATGTTAGAAAAAAAAACAAATTGAAGTACCTCCAAAATGAGCATTAGTTTGAACTTTTTGATCATCGTTGCTGGCAACTTCAGAAATATCCGCATCTCCTGAAGACAATGCAGCAGTTGCAGTCTGCTGTTCCGACGGCACTGAGTGAGTGACTACAACTACACCCCCCAGATCCTCCCTGCAGCTGGCGACTGTCTGCGCCTCCACAGTTGAACATACTTTGGTTTGTAGCTGGTCCTCCAGAGCCCAGTAGTTTTCAGATGCACCTTCACCTCAAAAATGATTATAAATAATAACAAGGATAGGCGATTACTGTGCAAATTAGTTTTTTTTTCAAATTAGTGTCGTTTTTCTGCGTGGTGTGATAAAAAAATCTAAACGAAAAAACAAAAGTTAGGCTTACTCGACAACCGTATTAAAGTGGGCCAATTGAAAAACATGTTTTGCAGAAAAATGACTAGAAAAGCGAAAAAAAAATTAAAATTTTTTGCAGAAAACTTTTAGATTTTTTGTAGTTTCTGGTTTTCAAAATGCAGCTAAAAAACTCCAAAAACTAGTATTATTTTTTTAAATTTAGATTTTAAGGTCTGAAATTAGGCATAATTTAGCTGTTTTACTACTGCTCGCTTACTTTATTTGCTCGAATTAAGACGAAAAATCAAAAATTTCAAACCTGTTTTTTTTCGACACTGGGAAAACTTTTTCAAAATTCTTAAATGTCGTTCGAATAACAACTGAAAGGGCTTTAATATGATATATCACTTAACCCAGTTCAATGATTATTTGAGCTAGGTGCTGATTTTGCTTGGAAAACAAAAAAAAAGAAAACTTAAAACACACCCGAATACAAAGTTCCTCCCCATTTTCAATGGTCGGAACAATAAATTAGTTTAAGGTTTACAGTTCGGAAAGCACTTATTTTTTTTGTATCTTATAACACAGCCTCAGACCCGAGAGAATGTCATTGCAACAATATGCCAGAGTTTTAAAACGGTTTACCCTCAATGGAAGGGACCAAAATACGAGACCTTCCGTTCCTTACGGAGAGCCGCTGTTGTTCCCCTGTTTTAAAAATTATACATTCAATTTTTTTTCCTTTTTTTAGGCTGGGTAATGTTGCCTCACCCGCAAGCAAAGAGGATGCGGATCTTGGTGCCAAATCCGGAGGTTCCAGGCCTCGACTTAGCTCTGAGTCCCTTATGGCGACTTAAAAGAGCGCGGTAATTTTTAATAGGGTTCAGGGCAGTAGCGTGCCGAGGGGGGCAACGCAATTTTTCGGTCAATTTTTTTAAGGTGCTCTAAACGCCTTTAGCCTGTTTTTTAAAAAATTTGCGTGCGGCGTAGAAAACTTTTGACAAAATAGAGTTCTTATAGTATTTTCGGAGAGCTTGGAAAATCAAATCTAAATTAAGACCTAAATCAAGATCTGTTGAATTTAAACTGCTTCCGTCATTAATGAAACTCAAGTTTTTGCGTCTAGTCGTTTGTAAATGTAAGTGTGATCTGTGATTTCGAAACGGTTACGTAAGATTTCGGAACGTAATTATGATAGTTGAGTAAACATCCCCCCAAGCCGTTTGGGGCAGTACGTTAACTTGATCCAAAAATTCTTTTTTTTACCTGTTGCCTTGCAAATGGGAGTTTTATCAGTCACATAGACGCTGCTCTCGTCTTCCTGCTGATGGTCGATATCTCCCTTCGTCATTCTCTCACGGATCATCCCGCTGCTCGGCTGGATTGCGAATGACGAACGCCGTCTTGTGGACCCCCCGACACCCAGGCTTCGTCCACTTAAACGAGTTGTTTGATTGAAAACTGTAGATAAATGTTTTTCTTGATACAGTGCTGATTTAAATTATCCGGACAAAACAAACAAAGCTTGAATTTTCAAACGCGTTTTTCTCAAATTGGGTTAAGATTAGACAAAAAGTGAAGAGAACAAAAGTTGCTTAGAATTTCATCAAAATTAATATGGTGCCATTTTTCTCCAAAATTCTCAACCAAAATTTTACCCCAAAAATGGGTCATTTTGGTTTTTTTCATTTAATCAAGAATTACACTGAAATTACTCTGTTAATTGATGAGAAAGTTATATCACAAGAAGCGTCCTACTTAACCCAACAAAGTTTAAGAAGGGTTAATTCTCCAAAAGTTTGCGCAAATTGTTTAAAATTTGTTTGTAAACAGATATTCTGGGTTTTATATAGTAAAAATAACATTTTTTGACTATCAAGTAAAAACTTTTTCTCTTATACTGGTTTTTGGAGATTTAACCCTCCTTAAACTTTGTTGGGTTAAGTAGGACGCTTCTTGTGATATAACTTTCTCATCAATTAACAAAGTAATTTCAGTGTAATTCTTGATTAAATGAAAAAAAAACAAAATGACCCATTTTTGGGGTAAAATTTTGGTTGAGAATTTTGGAGACTAAATGGCACCATATTAATTCTGATGAAATTCTAAGCAACTTTTGTTCTCTTCACTTTTTGTCTAATCTTAACCCAATTTGAGAAAAACGCATTTGAAATTTCAAGTTTTGTTCGTTTTGTCCGGATAATTTAAATCAGCACTGTAGTTCTTTCGAGATAAAAAGGGCACTGCACAATTTGGGGCTGGCCTATTATCGGGTGCCGGACATCAAGCCGACGGGACTTCAAGCCGAATCTTAAAAAAAGGGACATCAAGCCGAATAATTGTTTATAAAGTCGTGAAATATGATTAATTTGAAATTTTTTTTGTATAATTTCTTCTTTTTATGATCTTTTTTCAGTAATTATTGGCTTTTTCATAAAGTTTAAGCCTCCAAATGATGTTTAGGAAAGTTGAAATATAAACCACGGTTGAAAGCATTTTTCTTGTTTATAATTTATGCTTTTCAAAAACCGTCGGAAATTATTAACAAATGCCAATCCTAAGTGATTCATTGTCATGAATACCCGCACCGGAGTTCCATGAAAAATAATCAATTATATTGAATTTTCGTGGTCTGTCTCAATAAATTTTGATAATAATCGATTATAATTGATTCAAAATGGATTATAATGAAACTATTTTCTAATCAATAAAATCCGAATATAATCGATTATAATCGATTATTTTTGAAAGAAAATGAAACTTGTTTTCGAGGCAAAATAAACCTTCTTTAATCAATTATTATCGATTAGGATGGATTTTTTCCAAGTGTTTTTCTTGAAATTTACAATTTTGTTCAAAATTATCTCATTTCCTGTTTAGTGCAGTTGCATCGAATTACGTTTCATAAAATGTTACATTTCAGAATCAACTTTATATTTTTTTTGTCTCTACTTTTTTTAATTCATCGCAGTTTAACTAACACTTCTTTTCACTGTTTTTTAAACCAAAACCCTGATAAAAACCAAATTT